TCACTGTTGCAGTGATCGCATAGATTTTTGAAAGCAGGGGACTGAAAAGGTCTAGGTGATCTCAGATGATGGCTATAATCCTCTTGAACAAGGCCAGCTATTTGTCAAAACTTTTGTACATCTCTAGTAAATAAAATAGAATCCCATTTGAGATTTCCAAAGGGCAGCCTAGTTGTTTGCTGGACACTCATGAAACTACAATATACAGCCCAGATACTGTAAAGTTTTCTGAAACATAGCAGAGCTCAGTCTGTGGGTATGAGTTTCTAGTTACTCTTCCAGTTGTGCACACTTTCCATCTTTTCCCCTTTTTGTGATTCACGATCCTGTAGTCTCATTTTCCATCTAGTACAAGCAGCTGTGAATTCCCCAATAATACAGTGGATGGCACAGCGTTGAGGATGGTTTTGGGTTACGACTCATCTCCTTGGAGCCATGCAATATTTATAACAAACTACAAGATCATAAAAATTTCCAGAACCAAGCAGTTCTTATTCAGAAAAAACAGAAAGTCAAAAGTTACATTTCCCACTCCCTTGACTTTTGCTTCTTAATTCTTGACCATTCTGGAGAATGGACCTTGATCATAAGTTACTTGAGGGTTCCTGCTTGTGGCTTCTTCCAGAGCCTTCTCTCTGGTCCATTCTTCACTCTTTCTGAATTAGCTGATGAGAAATCCTTTTATAATCACCAGTTCCTCTTGTCAGTTGACCTTCTGATTAATCTCATGACAGTAAAACCAAGCACTAGTGTCCTGTTGTTTTCTAAACACTCTCTTGAAATTCACAGTTGAAAAACTACCTTGCTTTGAACAGTAACAGTAGCTAGAGAGTCACTATTTGTGCAACTTGAGTGTATGGTGAAAAAAAAACCACCCACAAATCCACAAATCCTTTTTTTCTTCCTCTCTTTTTTTTTTCCTAGGATGACCCCCTTCCCCCCCTGGGGGGGGGGGGGGGGAAAATGGAAAAGCTATGCACATATCAAATTGTAACTTTATCTACTTCTTGAAAGCATGAGATACGTATGATGTCACGTGTCACCAAACCACCTTTGTTCCCATATAGCCATCAGCAGTGATGATGGCATAAATAGCTATCCTGAGCAATGAGCTTATGCAGATTGAGGTATTTGACTACTTGAAGAGTGTCCCCTACAGTTTAGGAAACTCATATATTACTTTGAATCATTGTGCTCCTAGACACACTTGTAAATGAAAGGTAAATTGATTTTCTATAATGACAAATATATCTCCCGTGCTGTATGCTCACTTGCTTAAATGATTTTTGCCTGTTGCTATTGCTGTAGAAGAGAAAAAGTCAAAATACTGAAAATCATTGGTGCTAAATGTATAAACAAAAGGAAGACACATCATTTTCTTTGGGGTCACGAAGATAACGGAGAACAAACTTTTGCTTTTAAAAAAATGGGAAAAGAGAATATAGTTGGCACAGTGTATAGGCCAATGACAATACATAATTGTACTTAATGCTGTAGACATGTGAACTTGCATAATTGAACTTTGAACATTTACTGATTTTTAGAAAGAATTTGGAAAAGGATAGACTATATTAAAATTTACCTGTTTATTATGAGAGAAGATGTTTCACACATGCTTCTCTTTTTTTTTTTCTTCTCCACCAAATCTTAGTCATGCTTTTGCCACTTGGAGACTGATGATACCACCTGTTAATTATGTCTTTGGAAGCCCTTTTCAGCATCGAGACATTTTTGAGTGGTCATTGGTCTTTAGTCTATTTTTTTGAAACTATTAACATCATCCCCGGGGTGAAATAAAATTATCACTGCAACTAAGTATCTCACCTTTCAGGGAAGGGGTAACATTAGAAAGAAACAGTCCCTGTAGGCTTAGGCTGGAGAACTGAAGTTTTACAGTGTAGGGCACACTTCTCTCTGGGAAAGTGAGAAACTGGGAAATGTGGTTCAAAATTGTCTTTAACTAAAATATAAACAAAGCAAGGCTTATAGGCAAAGGCATTGTCTTTCTGTAGATGAGTTAATATAACAAACTCCCCAAGCTTTTGGTACTACAAAGACCATTCTGGTCTGAAGCAGAGACAGCAGACTTCAGGCTAACTACTACCATTACACTGATGGTGTCCCCTATGTTTGCAACTACCCTTCTGGAAAGTGAAAGACAGTGTGACAGTTGCAGCTCTACTCCTTCCAGCCTGCCCCCAAAAGCTAGCCAAACTATTGTATGTTTCCTTTACAATTAATTCTGACCCTACAGCTCGCATCTGTAGAATAATCACAGAAATGGGAAATGTTAATATGTGTCTTGGGAGGCTGGCTCTCCAGTCCTGTCTGGTTTAATGTTATAGCACATTTGGAATGATGTAACTGAATACAAACTCACTATGCTTATCCCCAGCATCCCAAGTATTTTTGTTTAGAATGACTGTTCTTAATGCTATTTAAGTGATGCAGTTTAAAGAAATGAGAGTACCCGTGTAGGAGACCTCTGATTGTAAAGATGAGTATAGCAATACTTTTTTTTTTTTTTTAATTTCTCTGCTCATTTTGGGGGACTTGGGGTGATAATCCACTATCTAATATGCACTTATCCTGGGCCAAGATATTAACAGGTTATGAGCAGATGACTTTCCTTGACTGACTTACCACATTGTGTTGGTATTCATTCTGTTTACGTTACATGTCTGCTTATCTTTTCCTTTTGCAGAGTCAATGAAGTGTTTGATGTATTTGTATAAACAGTTTGATTCCTGAAAATATGGTTTGAATTAGATGCTATTACTGTACAACAATACTCTAACAACATTCTGAGATCATTTAAAGCCCTTTGTTTAATAACACACTGAATGTTATTAGACTGTTACAGTAAATATGTTAACATTAAAAAACAGCCAGTAAAAATTAAGAGGTTTTGAATTCTAAAATTATGGAGGATATCAAACTGATGCATCTGTCCCTGTCTTTAATTTTTCAGTGAAATGTTCTTCTAGTGATACTTGAAAAAAGTATTTCCTATCAAATCAGGTGTTTATGTTTCAGTTTTGACAATTACACCTCTAAAAATAATTTCCAGTGCAAATTTTGAGATAGGTTGAAAACGTAACATTAAAAAAAATCTGTTATTTTCGTTTGCCTTTCAGTTTACAGCACTTTAGGTGTAGCTTCTTGCAGCCACAATGACTGTAAATGCTTCATTTCCCCCCTAGTAAAAGCTAGTATTTTCATGGAATTACATGATTTCAGAATAAAAATAAAAATTAGTTAGAAACTTCTGTAAGATCATCAAATCTGTTAATGTAAACAGTGTACATCATTCTTCCATTTCTCTCAATTTCCCACAGTTATTTGTATTGGAGTTTAGTCTGTACAGAGGGCTCTTCCTTCACTGCTGGAGCAGGCAAAGCTCTATTGAGCTGTTTAGTGTAACTATCATACATAAAGCTGTACCATGTGAAGGCGTGTGAAGTACAAATGCAGGTGTAGGGTATACAATATACTGTATAATTTGAGAGCGCGAAGGAGCCTGCGTGGGAACTGTTGCTTGTATCATATTCAGGACTTGGGGAAAAATAGAAGGTGAAGAGACACAGAAAGATCTGTGCTTACATTCTTTTCCTCCCCTTATTCCTCTTTGTCTGTGACAGTTATGCTTCCTTGTGTCTTGTCCAAAGCTATTCTAATTGAGTGGCAAATCTGTTGGCTTTTGGATATTGGAATAATTCCAGGTATGCTGTCTATAAGAAGAGTGCTCCAAAACTCGAGAGGGAGAGAAATCTTCCATTGGGAAAGCTTGTCTGTTACATGGATTTACGCATTATTCATATATATGTTTCTCTTTGAAGTACTACAAGTTTTGATTTGTTTGTAATATTTTAAAGGTAATTTTGAACTGTTCTATTACATGGTTTCGAATATGGTTCATTATTTTCTTTCTTCCAGTTGTTTCAAGATTGGTGAATGTGACAAAATTGTCATTAAAAAGAAAATAATTACAAACATTATCTCTCCTTGAATGACAGGTCTATACTTTCCATCTGTATCTATATGTAAAGTTTCTGTAGTCAGTAGAAAATGATGCAAGTTAACATGTAGCATTTGATAATTTGAATTTTCTTGATGTATCAAATACTTGTTCATTGTTATAAGTGCTGAACCATGAATAATTTACTGGCTTTCTCTTTCTATAATATGCAGTGTCTGCTGACTTTGAAGTTCAGTAGTCAACTCAAAAGTTTGCTGGAGCTGACTAATGATTCACCAGAGATTTTTGAGAGATATTTTGTCATCAATTTAAAGCTTGGAGAGGTTTGCTGTTGCAGCCATCTGGTAATTCTTGGTTCTCTGGAGGAAAGAGAAGCCTTTTGATAAAATAGATCAAAGCATTCTGCTGTTTCAGTGACTGATACCTATAAGTAACTTCAGTTTCTCAAAATGATTTCACAATGCCTGTCTCATTTGCCAAACTTTTGCATTCTAGTTACAATACAATACTGGTCATGAATTATATCTTAATTATATTTAAATTGTTATTTAAATACTTCTCCTCACAGATAATTTACAGATCTAAGTGTTTTCTAAACCCAGAGATTTCTAATTACCAAATACGCTGTCATGATTAATAAAATCAGTGGTAAATGTTGTTGTTCTTTGTGCTAACTGTACAGTTAAGGGTACTCTCAAAGACTGTACTTCTGCTATACCATAGGCCTAAAATATAGATGTACCTCTTAGACAGTAGGTGATATACAACTATGGTGTAAAAATATGTGTCATACTATTTCTAGAACTAGCTCTGTTAGCAGTTGGAATTCTGGCGTGGGGTTTGCAGATGTTTGGCAGTGAAGAGAAAATATGGAGAGAAAGACTTAGGACAGGAAGTGTGCACTGCAACGTCCACTTGAAATGAGACCAGTCTAATGCTGGATTGTATGTACGCATTTGAGATTTGTCTGGAATCAGGATGTTGTTTCTATTCCATCAGACATTCCGGATGTGCAATTGCCATGACCACACATGTCCGGTCTTCTCAAAGAGTGAGTTTATTGCATCACAAGTGTGGCACAAGCAGCCAAAACAGAATGATGAAATTGGCTTTTACTTTGCAAGTTGTTTAGTTAAAGAATGTCTGAGTGAGGTTTGGTGCTGCGTTACAGTAGAAGAAAAGGAAAGCATTAGCTTGTAATGCAGCGTACGTCTGTGCATGAAAAGAGGCGGTATTCTCTTGCTAGGGGTGAGGTAGTGCACAAAGGAACTAAGGAGATGTGTTTGCACCGTTCACTCTTCCTTATATTAGATGATCACTGTAATGACTGAGGTACTGCCAAAAGAATATAATTAAACCTCATATGTCATGCTGTCCTTAATTAAAGCCTATCAAGGAATTTGAGAAATAGTTCATGTCTTGGGATGTAGCCTGTACCATCCTAACAGCTATATGTAGTGTTTATTAAGAGATTAGCCTTATTACCATTTAACCATTCAAAGTACAGTATCGGCCAAATGGCAGATGTCAGTGAGTATTGGATAGTTACCACAAGTTCTTCAAACTTACTGTTCTTTCTTTAGGTAGTTTGGAGAGAGGAAAAGACTTCTATAGAGGCTGAGTTTTTAGGGACTTAATAAATTTAAAATGGAAACTAGATAACTAATAAGATACTAAATGCTCAGCAAATAGAATGATGGGAGTTTAGTGAAGGAAGTGCTAACTTCACACATGTTAAAATTTCCTTAAACTCAGATTTAAAAGTGGCATATAGATAGAAGAAAATTCCACGTACTTGTGCTTGTTGTTATTATTTAAACTTTTCAGTGAGCTATCCAAGATATGTCTGGTGCTCTTGTTTCTCATTAAGCCCACAAACAATGGTAAATTTGTAATTCCATACTTCATAATCTTCCACAGTTTTAGGTTCTGACTGCTATATCTGTGAATCAGATGCATATGCTTACCTGATTCTTTACCTCCTTGTCTGCTTGACATGTGCTTCCTAGCAGCTACAGTTAACTTTTTTTTGTCTTTGGTTTTTTGGTTTTTTTTTTCAGTGTGGGAACTTTGCTGTTTTGGTGGATGTTCATATTTTGCCTCAAGGCTCCAGTAAAGACACCAGCTGGTTTTCAGATCATGAGAAAGAGGTACAACAAATATCAATTCTACTTCAAAAGCATGTGGCTGCAGGGAAAATGTTGGATTGCCTTGAACTGTTCAGAATTTTCCAGTGTTACAAGAATATTGTTAGTTATACCTAACTGTCAACGGTTGCTGTGGGACCCCTAAGTCAACCATATGTGCTTTTTGGGTCACTAATGACCACTTTCAATTTGCCTTTTAAGTTTTAAACTCTGTATGTGTGCATACATGCATGTGTGCATGCTGTTTTGATTCTTCTGACTTAACTTTTAATTTTAAAAACATATCTCTCATGAATGTTTGTAAATTATCCTGAGTGATAGAAACCAGATTGTGACAAGTATTATTTTTGCAGAGCTTGTTGGTGAAATGTCTTTCTATTAATTGTTTTTTCCTCCTTCCAAGAAGTGTGAATGATCTTGCATTTAGAGAGTGCAGGAAAACATAATGATGATGCATGAACCATTGTATCTTATGAAAAGAAACTCCCAATCTTTATTTTTAAGTCTATCATTTGTATACCCTGACAACAGATGAAATTTTGGAAAATCAGTGCATCAGTGACCAGAAAAATTATGAATGTAACTTTCGTCAGAGTCTGTGTGATTTCTGCTACAATCTTGTGATGAGTTACTGGCGGGAGTCTTCCCCTATTTCACTCTGTGTGGGAACTTGAGAAGTTTCCTATTGAAAACGAATGCAGGACATGTTTCAAATGCCTGTGGACTTTCCCGCAAGTCTCTGTTACGGTAATTTTCAGCAGATAGCTTTCCTAATAATGACATAATTAACTTGTCACTGCAGAGCATCCCTGTACGTCTCAAAGTAATATGTTTAAATAAAATGAAAAGAAACAATAAATTAATATCCTGGGAGAGTGAAAGCAGAATATTTAACAGCATGCGGTTCATTTCATTTTTGCTTTATTAAGCAGAGAAAGAAGAAAATAAGTGGAATCTTTTTAGACTACTTTTTTCTGATTAAATGAATACTCATTACCCCTTCTATTTACAACCAGTTTTACTATCCCAGTTATCTGACTTTTAAGTGTTTTCAGAATGTATTTTGTAAGACTGACAAAACAAAAGATACGAATTTCAGGAAATTAGATCATGATTGATTTAATAAAGAGGCATGACAGGGCAGCATTCATTACATTTCTGTGACCGCACATCTTGAGTGAAGTACAAAGGTTGCATATTTTTGACAACTGAGGGGTGATTCCAATAGCTTCAGAGTTTGCTTCCTGAAAGTCCTATGCAGACTCCTTGTTAAAGTGGGGAAAAAAAGGTCAGTAAGGCATTATAGGCAAATTACGCCTAGCTGTTTTTTTATGAGAGCTTTTACATATCCATCACAAGCAGTTTTCTACATTTTTGTTTTTTCCAAATTCTGGCAAATACTAATGGTGGTACAGCCTCTTTGCTTGCCTGTGGGAAAAGCAGATCCCTCTTAGACCACTCATAAGACAAACGCGTTTTCTGCTGGTCCACCACTTACCCTGGGTGGAAGTTGGTGGCTGCTGTTTGAAGCAAATGGAGCCCAGCAATGCAGTCCCAGGCAGGAGAAGGGAGCAGCGCTGGCCTGTCAGCTGCCAGCTCCTGCTGGAGCGTGGGTCATGTAGAGCAGGCTAGGAACTAAATGAATGCCCATACACATGAGGCTGGTGTAGGAAAATACAGTGCATATTGTCTAGCTGGGCATTGTAAAGACTGCGCTTTGTGTGCTGCTGTCACATGCGTTGTACATAGAATCATCTTGGGATTGCTGTGAGATGCAAATTCAGGCATTTGGGAGTTTTTCTCTCCACCCTTCAAATTGCCCTGCCCTTCCTGTCCTATCTCTTCCCCTGGCATAATGAAGTCCAAGTTTTATCTTTGTGCTTCGAGAAACATTTTTTTTAACTGATTTTTATTCAGGTCATTGTTATGATCTCTCCATACACATATACAAGGTCTTGGTTACAAGTTCTTTTTAGTGGTGGAAAGTACGTAGAGACGATTGTCTTGAAGCCTGCTCTTGGTTATGCTTTGTTAAATGTAGGTCTATATAGTTCTTTGTGGAGAACCACTTAAATAATGTTTCCATAAGCATAACAACTACAGTATTTTCCCTGTAAAATAAGGAAGTCTATGCTAATCTTTATTGTTGCAGAAGGAACCAAATGCACACTATGTTTCCACTGCTTTCTAGACCTTTTCATTCTAACCTGAATGCATAGACCTGTGAAGGAATGTGTAATGAGATCACTTTAATGAGTTAAACAGAAGAATAAGTAGATAAAGTATTTTATAATTGTACTCTTCAAGCAGAAAGGAAAATGTATTTCTTACTGTAAGGAGAAAATACTGTTTGTGGTTGACCAATATATGTGCATTGCTTTCATTTAGAGCAATACTTTAAAAATTTGTTGCTCTGCATACTTTCTAGACTAATCAAAAGTAAATATCAATCCAAGGTATTTTAGTTTAGATGGTAGTAATATAATTTTATCTATTTTTCAAACACTGTAAAAAGGTAAAATGATATTTTTGTGCGCCACAAAGTATTGTTTCAGTGAGCGCATAGTTATGCACAATGAAAAATGAGAATATTGAGGGAAAAGTCTCAAAGATATGTGTATGTATTAATCTGAAAATTTATTCTGGTATTAAAGAGATTAATTTTTTGCTTTTATTCCTTTTTTTTTTTTTTTTCCTCCCCTATGGCTGTTCTGGCTGAAGGGTTTGTTCTTCTTGAGTTGTATGTGGTTTTTATTGTGGCTTGTTGAAGAAAGTTAGAAATATATGAATGGTGATGTTTAGGAGCAGAAAAATCAAAATGAATTAGAGAAATTAGGTTGCTGTGACCTAATTAGCTCTGAGTCTTCTCCCTGCCCGCCCGTGCTGGCGTCTCCCCCCGCCCCCCCCCCCCCCCCCGCCTTACACTGAATTGAACCAAAATACCTGTTGTGGGTCATAAGAATTCTTGCAGAGAAATAGTGTGTTGACAGTTCCTGGGAGGATTTTTTTATAATATTCTGCTTAAATAGCTAATGTTGTGATACATTTTTAACATGTATTTTTTCCTGCTTTGCATACAAATGAAACTAATTTGCTGTTCAGAAATTATTAGTATTGTCATATAATGTATTTCATCTGCCAAGTGAGAATTTAAAAATATACTTCCTCTCTTGTTTCGTAGCAAAATTGTTTGATCCAACCCCTGCCGCCTTGTTCCTATTAATTTCCTGAATTATGTGCTTCTCGCCTCGATGTAATACATTAGTACTTATCGGCAGATAACATTTTCACTTTCTCTGTGAAAGGGAGAGATTTTTGTATTGATTTCTGTTGTGTGTCTGTGGGAATGTATGTAAATTTAGATCTAAGTAGGCCGATGATTACTCTTTCAGGAGGTCTGCATGCTGCTAGAAGAAGTTGTTGCTTCCAGGGTCAAACACTACTTGGAAGTGCCTAAACAACGTGGTCAATGGAAATCAATGGAACATGCAGCATCCGGTCCTTTGTTTCTTACGGGTAAAATAAATTACTTACTTTATCTTACTTTATTTTACAACAAATTATGGTGGTAACTGCTGTTCTTTATTTTTTCCATGAGAAATTTGCCATCGGGAAAGCTAGTAGGCCTGAAATAGCCGGTGTTTGGGTCTGAATTACTTCAGCTATGTTAGTGAAAAAAGCAAAGTGAGTTTTAATTTTCTGTGTCATTGAAAAATGAACATAACACTTGTACTATTAGTATGAGAGCCTATCACTAGAATTAAAAAAAATCAATGGTGTAATCCTGGGTCCTCCAACATTAATGGATATCTTGCTGGTTTGTTAAGTCTCCTTTCCACTTGAACATTTAGCTTAGAAGTTTTTAATTTAGAAATAATATATTTACTTCTCCCTCTTCTGATAATCTGTTCATTCTTAAAAAGTTGCTATCATGTGATAAACAACATTTGTCATTTCACCCGTGTTACTGCAGGTTTGGCAGTAGTGTCAATGACCTTGGGAGAAAATATTGCGCAGAAGAGAACAGTAGTAAGAGAATTTGCCCAAGTGGAACTTTTTTTTAATTATTTTTTGTGTCTGTGAGAGGGTGGTGAGCCTAATAAGTGCAATTTCAATACATGCATGTTTTAAACTAAAGAGTATATTAAAGCGCTATAGCTTGTGCTTTACTGTTAGATCAGCTTTGGGGCTAAACGGCTTGCCAGTTTTTGTTTCAAGTTCTTTCACTAGCTGTTCTGGTCACCGTGGTGGGTTTTACAGCTGATAGACTTATCTGTTGGTGTTATATCACACAAGTAATTTATTTTTAAATACCTCTTAGGAAATAGTGACTTTTTTTTTTATTACCAGCCTGGAGCATGTTATAAACTTTCTGTCACAGAAAATAAAGGCTTCAGTAGTAAAGCCCTGTGTTGGCTATGGTTTCTCACATTTCCTTAAATATATTGAAATGGATCTCTACTGAAATATGAATTCTGCAATGAAAAAAATTGCATACTTACAATATACAGTCAGTATACTGATACAAATTTTTTAATTCCATGTATATTATATTAACAGTTCCAATTCGGAACAAATTCTTTGCCTCTCAAAACGTTTTCAGTTACTGAAAAGGTATATTCCTATAGAATTCCAGTTGATGGTTGCAGCTTTAAACACTATTATCAATATTAATGGGTGTTTTTAGAAAAGAAAAGAGGTTAAATACTGTATGGTTGGCTTCTTATTGCAAAATTTTAAGCATGTATGGGAGCCAGATTGTTATGGCACGACAGGAACGTTTTTTTCCACCCACAAGAACACAATACTGCATGAGTAAAAAGTGCTTCAGGACACTAAAGGATTTTCAAATCCTTTTTTCCTTGTGAGTTGTAACCACATTTTATCCTTTTAAAATATTATTAATGTTTGTAAAGCACATGAACTTTCAGATCCCTGTACTTTTCTGGTTTTGAGTGAACAAATAGCATTTTCTTACAATGAAAGCAGAGGGATGTTACAGAAGGTGGGATCAGAATTTCTGAGATTTGTTGAGGTTTCTCTGTGTTTTCTTTTACCAAGTGATATTTTTTGTTATTTATTTTTAAAAGTTTCCTGCCTCAGTAAAAAGCAGGTTTTCAAAACCAATGATTTGTAGGATAAAACTGCCAGACCTGATAATTGTTTTTATATATGCAGACAGAGGCAACACTAATTTGAGGGTGTTGGTGAGATTTAAGGGTCTTATATTTTCTGTTATATCATGAACTTTTCAGTAAAAATACTGGCATTCTGTCCCAGGGTTGTGAACTGATCTTCTGCTTGACTCTTCCCCTTATTTCCTGAAAATGAAAAACTTGGGCATATGCATTTGAGGAGGTCATCAGTAATATCTGTGACAGTTTTAGATTAAAGAATATTTACTTTGGATGAGGCAGAATTACTGTTCCATCAGTTGTCTGCAGTTAATCTCACTGTCATTAATTAACACTAAAGAAATAAAGTCTGTGATAACGAACAGTCATGTTCAACTTAATTTCCAGGTCTATCTCTTTCCTCTTCTTTCCGCCTGCTTTGCTGAGGGCTGTAATTTGTAAGAAAGGAGTGCTTTGTTCAAGTCCAAGAATCAAGTTTATTCAAGTTACATTCAAGTCTGTTCTTACCTGAGAAGTAAATAACAGAATAGGTGGGTGTTCACCGGAGTAACTGGGACCTACCTCTAAGGGACTGACCCTTTCAGGCGAGCCACAAGTCTAATAGCCTTCAGCAGTAATCATCCCTGAAGTGTGGCTCCAAACCCTTTTGTATTTTGCCTTCCCCTCTAGGATCACAGGTTCTGTTTGTAGAGTACAAAGATATGGTTTTGTGTTTTTTCACAAACAGATGGAGTGCAAGATAGCTGGCCTGTGTTTGGCTTAGTGTTTTGTAGTATACAAAGAAATGCGCAAGCTCGGTATGTGGCTAACTACATACACATACTGTAGGTGCTGCTGGTGAAATGTTTAAGCTTGCAGCTATTGTTGCATTTGGAGGTTATTAAAAGGTTTTGAGCTCTTCAAACTGAATGTGGTTTCTTTTGCTCGAAGTTACGCAAGTCTGTGTCTAGAGTTTCACTGCTGTAAAACCCCCGCTATTGGAAGTAAGAGTGTATCTATAGAAGAAACATCAAGATGCTTATTAGCTGGTTATTTACTACTACAAATATCACAGGCCAGGATTCCACCCCATTTGAACTCACATCTTTTCAGGTCAATTTTAATTAGTTTGCTCTCCACATTGCAGGATGTATTCAAAATTTATTAGACTCAGAATTATTAGACCAGTATTAGTAAGATTTTTAGGCTACCTCTAATATCAATACATGTTGTATTAGGATTTTCATCAGCAATAGAAGCCAAGCTACCTTCCTTTGATCTCATCCTGCTCTTTAGGTCTGCTCTGTTGAGCAGAGAAGGCTGCTGTTAAACTGGCTACCATGCCTATTTTGAACAGCAAGATTTCACCTATCACAATTTCTTTTTAATATTAATGTTATATTAAGATTATTTAATACCACCTTTCAGTTTTGTGGCACATAATATAAATATCCATGCATGTTACTTGTTAATATACACTTCTTTTTCATTTAAGTTACACCCACACAGCAGTGTGTGGTGGGTCGCATACCATCTCGTTAGGAAATCTGTGGGTGTTACACACAGGAGTAGAAAGAAAGAAAGAATGGAAAAATGAGAGAAAGTAGCCAAGACAAGCAAGTTCTTCCTATTCTTCCTTCTGTCTGAACAATTTCCCCACCCCTCCCAAATGACCAGTATGAACAATTTGCCAAAGTAAGCTTTAATTTAGTCTTTCGATATAGGCTTTGGTATAAACTCTGTTTCCTGTGTTTAATTAATGTCCAAACATGTTTGATTTTGGGTTGTTTTCTTTTTTTAAGAGAAAATTAAAATAGGGTGGATTTTCAAAGGTTTAATTCTGCCTGCATCCAATTTTCATGGCCAAAATCATGCAAGAAGGGCATTGATCAGGTATGGTTAAAGAATATAAGCCATCCAATAACAAAACCCATGTGTTAATGAATTTCTCTTGTTCATTAAAAAAATCCCAACCCATTACTTCACTTTACAGATCTTTACAGTTAGAACTTACGTTTTTCTATATATGCGCCATACGTTTTCACTTTGCACCACTTGCACTACTGAGTATCACATACTTGTTTTTAGTGATGTTAAGCATCTTACTGTGTCATAATGCTCACCCACTGTAGACTTAAATAAGGTAAAAGCAGAGCCTGTTTTCTCGTGTTCCATAGAAGGCGGCTGTTTTTGGTTAAGAGCAATAAGAATTAAGTAACAAGAGGCTATAAGGAGGACTGAGTGTAGATGTTAAATACAAGAGAATGACAAAGGGAGGACTGTGGAAAATGAAGGAAGAAGGCAAAGTTTACATGGGCACAGAGGAAACAAAAAGGAGGATGTGGAAAGAAAATATGGCTGGTAGAAATGGAAGGAAGGAAGAAGGTATCTTGTAAATTGACCTTCTTCCCCCCTCTTGAGGGAAGGGGGGGGACACAAGTTAACTATGTTTATCCTACATGTAATTTTCAGATCTCTTCTCATTCCTTCCCTAGCATCCTTGTTGTTTTTCTTGGCTTGAAGGTGGAACATTTTTGCTCTGATTTCAGATCTTTTTACAGTCTCTTCTACAGTGAAAATAATTAGAGAGCATGCTGTCACATGGCACAATGAGCTCCCAGCTTGATTTTATCTGCATTCTTTGGGATTGTGTATATTTTAAAAAATGTTTTTAACCTAGTTTTCTAAGGGAATGGGACTTAGTGATCATGTTTTCTCTGTGTGTGTCTGTCTGTTATCTATCTTTTCCCCCAGCTGCTTTTTGCAAACGTGATTGAACTTTATTAACAGGTAGAAGTCTCAGACATTAAATTTTCAGACATTAACTTCTGATAAGCTTACTAAAATGAGAAACTGAAAGAAGTACAAGTGCTATTATGAATAGTTCAGCCTTACAAAGATCTGGAGTCAAAGTTCATGTCTTATTTAATATAAAAAAATGCATAAGATGCAGTTTCATAAGAAAATACATTTCTGTTCTGTTGCTTATGAAACACTTTGGCTCCTGTAAGCACACAAAAAATACACAATAAATCACGATAGTAAATATTCCGAACTGTTTTGGCCTTGCGTTTCAATTTGAACATTATAATGTTTTTAAGGAAAACATCCTTTTCAGACTGCCCTCGTTTTCTTTAGGAGTGTTCACTATTACTGTAGAACATGAAATATGTAAGATGTTTGTAGCATATGTTCCATCTTACAATCCTGTCGCAGCAAAACTGATTTCTTCCCACCGTTGCAGCTCTTAACTCTTACTTTTCTGCTGTGAAACTGTGTTTTGTTTGGTTTTAACTAGAATAATTTCACCTACCTTGCTTAAAGAGCAACTCCACAAAAATTTGATAGCCACAACTGGAGGGAAAGTAAGCTATGGCAGATAAGCTACCACAGGGGACTGAG